AATATGGATATTAAATTTTAGCTAATCAGCACAACTCTATGATAAAAAAAGATAGTCTCTGACCATCTTTTTTTTATCGTAATAATAAACTTGCTTGACCGAATAATTTATTTTTCACTAATTAAAAATTGAACTCAGACCTATTGATTTAGATACTTGAGAGCACCCTAAATTAAAAAAAAAAATAAGTTACTGTAGAAGATTTTGTATTAATTATAAAATTTGTTACAGGCAATACTGAATTAATAACCATAAATTATGATGCAAGCAAAGCATTTAACGAATTTGATTTCATCGATCCCAGGTTTTACCCAACGGAAGAAGATCATAATTCACGGTTATATGTTATATGCCCTCTTATTTTTCGAGAAAAAAATTTAGAATTAATGCAAAGGCACTTTGACTTATATCCTTTAATATCTGTAGATGCACAAAGTAGTACAATAGAATTAGAGGCTATAAGAAAAAGTGCTATAAAGGAGATGTATCAATTCTGTACTCAATATGAATTATGGTTGCTCTGGGCCTACCTTTGGACCAATTGGTATTCGTCATGGAAGTGGCATCTTTGGGCTCGCTCACTAAGCCCACTATACTTTACAGAAAAATGACAATGAAGATTGAGAGTCATTAGAATATTATAAAGCACCATTACCTACAACAATTTAACTAGCCAAGACTGGATCTCATGCTGTGGATACTTTTAAATGAAGTGATGCCAGCTCATAAAGACTGGTTTTCACAGATTCAGACTGGTATAATAGAACCATCCTGGTGGGATAATTTTAAAAAAGCATAGATCTATGCTAGCACAAATGAAGAGGAGCGAGTAAAATTACATACAAATAGTCATAGTAACAAAAGAAAGAGGAGTATTGATTTAATAACAACAAGTTCAGAAAATTTATACTTTACTAGTCTTGATCAGTGGGTTTGTAGTTGCCCTGTATTTGTTAGTAGCTGTTTTTTATTGTGTAAACATTTTGTAAGGCAGGTTGTGAACTTATCTGATGGAAAAAGACAACGTTTGATCAGAAGTAAATTCGAGTATCATACAACTTCCTATTTTTTATTATTTGTAATTCTGATGCCACTAACACTGAATTGCCTAAAGCTTCAGTTGATGAAATGTATATTAATTGCATATCTGATAATTACAGCATTGATGTTGATGAGGATCCAGACGAAGAAGCTTGTATCTACATAGAATTAAACTGGAAATTGTTTGCACAAGCATTCAAGTGGGTTTGTACTAAAAAATCTGCAAATAATTGGAAACAAGTTAGTGTGATGATAAAATGAAGTCATTTGGTACTAATAGAGAAAAATATTCAGTCTGTAGAATGGAAAAGATGTCAGCAAGCAACTTGGGCACTGGAAAATACTAAGAAACCATATCTTATGTATCTTTCATTTCCAAAAGAGCCAAATAGTTAGAAAATATAATAATTGATGATGAAGACTAATTAAACCTTGAAATATTAGTGAAAAAATAATAGCAATTAATAAAAAAAAATAATAGAATTGATATTATACAGCTAATTTTGGATATAACAAACTAACTCTATAATGAACTTTTTTTTAAAAAAATTATAAAGTTCAGTATAAAAACATAATAATTTACTCTATAAAGAGAATTTAACTATAAAGAGAATTTTTAAACTTTTTTTACTCTAAAAACCATCAGTTAGTTATATAGTTGTTTGATTGAATTGCTGGTTTATTTTGAAGTTTTTATTTGAATAAAATAGAAATAACTTCTACTTTTTTTAATTTTAAATACGAATTTATTTAATATCTTTAAATCTTATTGTTCGAATAGAAGATATATATAGAGATTAAGTCTTTTTGTTAAAGATTTAGAAAGCGAAGACTGATTCATCTAATCTGAGATAATCATCTAATCAGTGATTGGATTATAACTACAGTATGATAATGTGATGTGATATCGATCATCATCCGAACTTTGGGGGTCTGCTTTGAGGTAATCAGAAGGAGATAGAACTCAGTAGATAATATGTTGGTCTCAGTAACTAAAGCTATAGATATCATCTTGTGGTTGTTGTCTGATAGGAGTGTCTAAGTTTTTAAAATATCTATCGTATTGTCCTGGTTCTTCGTATCCAAAACTATAGGCTAAATCGATATAGTGGTTTGGTATTCGAAGTCAATAGCAGGTAGGGTAGTAAGGTTGGTATATCTTTGAAATAATACAAGAGCAATTTTTCTGAGGTCTTCTATATCTTGGTTATATCAATAACTAAAAATAATATCTTTAATATTGGTGCGAATAGAAGGTCTGTCTCAGGTTATAGTAAGGTGTAGTGTTCTAAAGTTTGATTTGATTAATTTGAGTTTGATAAAATTTTCAAATCAAACTCAAACTCAAACTCAAACTATAAGTTTTTAATAATTTCAAACTCAAACTCAAATCAAATACAAAATTATCAAACTTAAATCAAATTCAAACATATTTATAAAATTGATTTGAGTTTGATTTGAGTTTGATTTGAAGTTTGCAAATATGTTTGAGTTTGAAATATATATTAGTTATAGAGCAAGTACTGCATATTTCTCAATAAAATATATATTGTGAGACCTAAAAACGAAATGACGACACGTGAGCATATGATCACAATACAATCAGATATGATGATCTTATTTCAAAAAAGATTTCTGGTGATATATTAGATATATCGAATATAACTTATATATTCAATTTATTAGATTTGTTAGATAAATTGGAGAAAGCAGGTTTATGGAGGACCCTAAAGATCTCTGATATAACTCAGAGGTTACTAAAAAAGGAAATTTTGTGTAGAAATTCATCAAATATTACATTTTTATATAGTAAAATTTTAATTTTTGGCTTATTTTATATACCTATTTGGCTGATATTATACAAACTCAGATCTAAGTTGTATCAGAGATCTTCAGGATCCTGTTTATAGGTTATATGGAATATATTAGTTTAATCAAATAAAATAAAGATATGATATAAATTAGTTTTATTAAATAGATCTGACTAATTCAGGCTCTCCGTCTATAATAAAGGAGAAGTTATTCATGCTTTAAAATAAATTAGTTCTATAATTATTATATTCAGTCCAAAACAAAGTAAACCTAAACTACTATAAAAGCTAGAGTGAAATAAACTGTTATATAGCCATCCCGTTATTGATCATTGTGAGAGTAGATTTTTGTTTGCCCTTCTCTTGTGTATATGACTTTGATATTTGTGTTTTGGTTTAGACCCAACGTATAGTGGTAAACCCGTAGTATTGAAATTAAGCAGTATATTACCTCACTGGCTATTTAACATACCAAATTAGTCGTGGTTTTAATAGAGAAGAAAATTTAAGTTAGTAAAGTGATAATGAAGTAATAAATACAATACAACTGAAAGACATTTATATGAAGGAACCAACCTGACTCACCAAATCTGACTATCTCTTTTGATTAAACCGAATGTTAGTTTAAAGTTGTATAGAATTGAAAGGTATCATTGTATCTGTCTATACCTACTAGTACAATATATATTACACAACAGTAAAAATATAAATATTGCTTATTGCACAGGTCTTATCTAACAACCTATACCTTTTTTATTTACTTATTGGTACAGAATTATACTTTAGACACCGTGTAATAAAATAGTTATTTTTTACAACTATACAATAAATATAACTTATCTCTAGAATTTGTAAAGCCAAGATCAGGTTAGAATTAAGATTTGTATAATAAGATTCATGTAATTATAGGCTGGGATAAAATCACCACCCAAAAAAAGTTTCAAAATCATATGATATTGTCAATTCATCATGATAATATTTATAAAAATATTAATTTATTTTTTTCTTCGATTTTTCGCAATTGTTACAATCTCACAAGCTAAGTAATTCTTTAAAAGCATAAAATTTAATATTCTTGTTGTAAATACATATTTGTCATAATATCTGTAATCTGTCAAAAGAAAAAGAATTATTAAAAAGGACATCAGCAAATGTGCAGATCCTTGATACATCTACAAATATAATATTAGTTGCAAGTTATTTATTACAGTGTCAAAACTTATAAATTGTAGTTGCCCAAGCAAGACATAAAAGAATTATATGTGAAAGCAAGTTCTTTGTGAAATGTAATACTTATCACTTCAGGTTTCATGCATAAGTTTCGCTAACCTCGTGATTACATGATAAAAGTTGAATTTCAATAGATGCTATACGGGTATAACTATTGAAAAGAGAAGAGAACCTGCAATGAAAGGCTTAATGTAAAAAAAAAAAATAATAATAAATAAATATTGAAGAATATAATACTTATCACTTTAGGTTTCGTGCATAAATTTCGCTAACCTTGTGATCACATGACAAAAGTTGAATTCCAATAGATGCTGTACAGGTATAACTATTGAAAAGAGAAAAGAACCTGCAATAAAAGGCTTAATGTAAAAAAAAATAATAATAAATAAATATTGAGGAATATAATACTTATCACTTTAGGTTTTATGTATAAGTTTCGCTAACCTCATGATCACATGACAAAAGTTGAATTTCAATAGATACTGTATAGGTATAACTATCGAAAAGAGAAGAGACTCTGCAATGAAAGGCTTAATATAAAAAAAAAATAATAATAAATAAATATTGAGGAATATAATACTTATCACTTCAGGTTTCGTGTATGAGTTTTACTAATCTCGTGATCACATAGTTCGATTGTAATCATCAAAGAGTAATTGATTAGTTGGGATAAATTATTGATATAATTAACTGATGTAATTAAATGTAAAGTATATAAAGCGTATAATGATAAAAAAATAAAAAAAAATTCTTACCTCTTTGTTCTAAGTAAAAAAAACAGTAAGATCAGAAAACGTGACCCTATACCTTCATATTAAAGCAAATTTTATCTCTGACTTGATATTATCATTTTGTCTAATTGTCCAATTTATAAGCTATGAAAAAGTAAGCAACATACTACAGTATTTCTATGTAATCATGAGTTTGTTATCTTCGCAATCCAAAGAACTTGTATCAAACCATGATAATGACCGTGACAATAACTATAACTATAACCATAATGACAAAAATGAACACACTAATGACCCCACTACTGATAATATTAATATTATGGCTGGTGGCAAGCGAGATTGAAGTAAAATATAGCTTTTTTTTGACAAAGTTGTATGAAAAAAAGAACAAAAAATTGCTAAATATAAGGTTTCGGGGTGCTTGCATAAGGAATTTTTTTGTGGAAATGGAGGCTCAACTAGCACCCTATGGTGCCACTTAGAAAGCGTGTATAAGATTTAATATATCACGATAAAAAAATCTAAGAAAAAAAAGAAAGTACGAAGTGAAGGTGATGATATCATAGAGGCATCCAAAAAAGTAAGCGAATTACTTTTTTTCACAATTTTGGGGCTGGCCCAACTTAAAAATCTTATCTTAGAATTCTAAAAACCTTTCTGCTACAATGCTGACTAATGTTAATAATATAAAACTTCGTGATATATTCGCTATTTGGATCATCAATCGTCAACGTCTCTTTACTATAATTGAAGACCCTGAATTGATTGAAATCATACAGTATTTAAATCTCACAGCGCAATTAGTTAAAGCAAATACAATAAAGAATGCAATTATGTCACTTTATAACTCTGAAAAAAGGGAATTGAAGGCAAGCTTCACGAATATTATATCCTAGATGTATTAGGATTCTATGAATTATTTATTTATTTTTTTTTGTATATTTTTGTGTATTTTTAATTCTCTAGACCTACTTCACCACGTTCAATTCTAAAATCTTTTTTATATCAGACCTTTGGATGTCTCCTAATCATAAGTCCTTTATTTCTATTATAGCTTATTATATAGACGAAAATTAGATTCTAAAAGAAACCATAATTGACTTTGGTCTAATAAGCAGAAAGCACGATAGGATTAATATTGCTGATGGATTCTTTAAGATTTTAAAGAATTATGAAATTACTTCAAAAGTATTTATCTAT